AGAAGCTCTTTGTAAGAATACTACTTTAACTTCTCTGGATATTGGAAATAATAATATTGGTCTTGAAGGTGTAAAAGCAATAGCAGAAGCTCTTTGTAAAAATATCTTTGTAACGTCTTTAAAACTTAGATATAATCATCTTGGCTTCAAAGCAGCTGAGATATTAGCAGAAACACTTTACAAAAACACTACTTTGACTTTTTTAGACCTTTCCAATAATAATCTTGGTTCTAAAGGAGTAAAAGTAATGGCAGAGGTCCTTTGTATGAATAATACCTTAACTTCTTTAGGCCTTAGAAGTAACCAAATTCGTTTTGATGGAATCAAAGTATTAGCAGAAACTGTTTACAAAAATATAGGTTTGTCTTCTTTAGATCTTAGTGGCAATTTCTTTACTTATGAAGCAATAAAACCATTAGTAGATGCCCTTTACAGAAACACTACTTTGACTAATTTGAACCTTTCTAATAATAATCTTGCTTTCAATGGAGGGAAAGTATTAGCAGAGGTTTTTTATAAAAATACTACTTTAACTTTCTTAGACCTTAGTAATAATTTATTTGTTTATGAAGAAGTAAAAGCTTTGGTAGATGCTCTTTGCAAAAACGCTACCTTAATTGAGTTAAATATTTGTTATAATCAACTTAGTTTTAAGGAATGCAAAATGTTAGAAATAATTCTTTACAAAAATAATATTTTATTAAAGTATATGTAATAATAATTTTTAAAATTTGGTATTAATATATATTATGCATATTGATTACAAAACAATGTAATATCATATGGAAATATGTATAATTTTTTTATAGTAGTAAGGAAACCGGTTAACTTACATTTAAGCTACCCGCTTTTTCTGTAATTCTAGTCACCAATTATATCAAAATAATATATTATCTGTTTTGTTGCTAATGAAATTCTAAACAATTCAAAATAATTTAAATAATTAAAGTTTCATATCACTATTAATATGTTCAACTAAAAAATATTTAAATGCACAAATCTGACTTAAAAATATAAAAGAGATACCTTTTGTGGCGGAACAGCAAACAATACGTTTGGATTATATATTGATTTTGTCAGCCTATTTCATGTATTTATTTAAACTTAGTAGAAAAAATGTCAAAAACAGGTTGAAACATTGTGTGCTCTTTATCTTGGGATTTCTATAATTATGCAATACACTGTACTGCTATATTGACATGAGGCTTTCGTGTATGAGTTTAAAGTAGTTTTTAATCATCAATAAAAAAAAGGTGAACATTGCATGATCAAAGAATTATTCTACATTAAACCTGCGATATGTGCATAAAATTTATTCTTATTTTTTCCTTGTTTTATTAATGATTCTGTGGGAGGTATTGTTTATTCAATTTGGTCATATGTATATTATTTTTTCACATACAGTGCATTCTAAGTGCACATTCTCTAAGCGCAAGTACTAAGTAAAACCCTCTCTAAATGCACAATACAGTTTGGTCCCAACTTATAAGATCTTATAGTAAAAAATGTATACAACATTTGTAAAAGAAATTAGGCTTATTTAATATAGAATTACCTTTAATATAAGAAACTCAAAATAGATATAATATAAGATCTATTTTCATTTTAGTAGATTTTACTTCAAAGGTAAATTAATTTTAAGGTCTGATGGTCAAAAACTAAACTTATTTTGGTATTACAGAAAAAACATTAAAAATTAGAAACTTTAAACACGAAACTCACAAGTGTGTTCTAGATACGTATGACAATTAGCAAATAATTGTAAATGAAACCTTTAAATAGACAATAACTAAAATTGTACATGTGATTAATTATAGTCTTATTGATATGCAAAATATACAGCAGAGACTGTTAATGTTACACATATTTTAAAACTGGTGAGGGATTATATCCATCACAATTGAATCCAACATAAATAATTTAATTGGTAATTGATCACAGGCGAGAGGAATTCATTTTGGATCGGGCACTGTCTCTGCTGTATGCAAAATATTATACCCTCTCTTATCTTGGTAAAAACTAACAAAACATTTAATAAAACCACACGACCAAAGAAGTCTCTTCATAAACTAAAAAATAATGAATTTTAAAATTAAATATGAATTAAAGATCTTAAATTACTATTTGACTATTGTAATTGTTATATATCAGCTACATAATATGAGTGCTACCAATGAAAAAAGACACTTCAGCAATTATAAGAATTTACAAATCAATTATTAAGTTTAGCAATAGTTCAACAATAATGCAGATTGGGCTTTTAATTATGCAACATAATACACAAACACTTTACATTAATATTAAAAAGCATTGAAAGCCCGCTCTGCATCGTTACTGAACTATTGCCGAACTGATAATTGATCTGTAAGCTCTATAATTGCTAAATGTTCTTTTTCCTTGGCGGTATTCATATATTATTTCTAATATTATATATATGTAAATTAAAAAGCTAATTATGATCAAATAATTTAACTCGCGCTAATACGAGCGCCGCCAAAGAAAAACAGTAAATCTTACCAGATAATATTCGCAGGTTTTCTATTTTTAACACTCATAACTATCATAAGCATAAAATAGTGCAAAAATTCGTAACTATATGTAGAAAAAATTTATGCTATATCATACGCATTAATGCGCATTAATGCGTATGTTATTATAAAATGCGAATTTTCCCCATCTTTAGACAGTAACAAAAAGTTTTGTTGAACAATTTACTATTGAAAATATATCATCCTAACTCATAACTCTGACCCTAACCCTAACAAATTTTAAGAATTTTGTCTGCACCACCAATCTGGACATATTTTTCTGATTTCCTTAGCTGTTTAATTACGATAGTTGTGCAACATAATCACGCTTAAACCTGGAAAGTTGCATGATCGCTAGACTTTTATTAAGGATCCAAGTGTAATTACGAATTTTTTATTAATTGTAAAATTATTACTAATTTTCTGCGACATACGCATGAGCAAAACATGATTTGGTCTAATAATATACAAGATTTTAAGTTCGCAATGCATTACTTATAAATCTTTGAATATTGATGGGCATCTTGGATAGAGGTAAACGATTTGTGAATTTTTTATATAAAATACCAGATATATAATAGTAGACTCTTTTGCAGTATGAATAACTTTTTTAATAAAATATCAATTGATTATAAAGTGGTTATCTATGAGAAAATATGAGGCTATATAGCAAATTACTACGCAAGCTATCAGCCCAGTTTTAAATTTTACCTGCATTAGAAAATAATGATGCTGTTCCGAAATAACCTAAATAGTAAATGAATGGACATAGATCTTGAGCAAGATTAAGATCAACATTCAAAATATTTCAAAGTCTTGTTAGCATCAAAATGGAGCAGCAAATATTGTATTATTTTTGCTAATCTGTATAAAAGCAGGAATGATAAATACCTAAAACGTTTGAATGAAGAATATACTTGAATATGTTATGCGTCGTTTATTGATTCCTGTTATTCAAGGATTGACATGTGTCATTTATGAATCCAAGAATAACATATGTTGTACTTGGAAATTGGTATTGGTATGAATTTTACCAATATAATTTTAAAGAATTTTTTTAAAATGTATTTAGAATGATACATTATTGTTATTATATAAATACTAAAGCATTTCTTTAAAAAATATATTGCGAATCATCATTATTATAAAAAATAGCAATAATGATATATTGAATACTGAAAACTATGCTAACGATACTAAATATTAGCTAAACATAATGCAAATATACGAAACATATAAGAAAATTTTTTTTTGAAAAAAATTTCAACGCAAATAATCATTATTATTTATTTTTACATTGGCCACATAAAAAGCAACTGCATCTTCTTGAACATTTTAAATTATGTTTACAACAAGAGCATGTTTGTGTTTCACAACTAGTTTTTTGGCAATGACAGTTATGAGTTTTCTTGAGTTTAATTTTTTGCATAGAAAAATTAAAATTTAGATCATCGCTATAAAAATTTCATTAATGTTAATAAACAAAAAATTAAATTTAATATGTATCAATAAAAAATAAATTCATACTCTGATAAGTTATTCGAACTTTCATTAAATTCATAATTAATTTGTCTTGAGCTTGAAGATTGAGTTGTAAATGTATTATTTTGTTTGATACTTGCTTGTCTTAAT